GTGGCGGCAGGAGGAGGCTGCAGCTAGAGCGGCCTCGAAGCGTTCGGCGCCGGGTCAGCGTGAGCCCTTGACCCGCAGGGCTCCCCCAAAATCACGGGGCATGTCGGGTCGAGGAGCTGCGCTCGTCCCAGCGGCGCAGAGCGATGGTGTAACAAGCGAACGCGTTACAGATGGGGAGCGGTGCTCGCAGGTCTCCCGCCTGCCCGCTTGTTGTAGTCAGGGTGTAGCAAGAGTTAAGGAGCGGTTCGTTCATTCCATCCTCCAAATGTAAACCATTAATTTTCCTTGTAGTGTTGTCTGTACTGGACATTGAAGTTTCTTGATGGTGATGTAAGAGAACATAGAGTGCTTTGGAGTGTTGTGTAGTGAAGCATTTAATTGAAGTAAGTTTGTTTTTTGTTGTTTTTTTTTTCCCCTCAAGAGTCCAGTTTATTACTCTTTTAATGCCAGCTTGATTTCCTCTTATGATAAGGTTTAAAAAAACAAATCTGTGATCTGAATGTGACTTGCTTCAGAGAACTATAATGCTTGACTGCATCTTTTGTAATTGTCCTCCAGGAAACGCAGAGGGCCGGACTCGTAAGGAGAGTCCATTTATCCTCTGCCCAAATGTGGTCTGGCCGGAAGGGACGAGAGACTCTTAAAGTAGATCTGAACTGCTGGAATGAGGGGGAAAGGGAGGCAGGACTAGACGGCCGCGCTGGTGGGACCGCGAGGGAGCTATGAAAGAGAGTTTCCCCGAGCCGAGTCAGCGCTGGGTTTCTGAGGTGACGGTTCAATGCACAGTCGCCTTTAACAAACGCCCCCCCTCAAAAAAAAAAAACCAAACCAAACCCAGAACCCCTCCTGAGCCCGACGCAAAAAGTAATGTCTCGACGTGAGCCGGGGGAGTATAAAATCACAGTGAGCATCGGTCCACGGTCCGTATTTCTGGGGCCGGCCCCGTTGTCCCGTCTTTTCTAGCAGAGCTTTTTGGACGCAGAGCTGGTGCTGCGTGGTGGCGGTGACGGGGAGGCTCTGGCTTTTGGGGCACTCGGCGCACGGCTGTAGAGCTAACAGATGGAAAACTCGCGGTTTGCCCTGGCTCCAACTGACCGTGCGAAACAAAACTCAGTGCTTTTGCTCCCACGAAAGCATTATAAGATTAAGAATTGTCCCCTTAGTGACTCCGTTCCAAAACCGAGGGGTTCAGTAAAGCCGAAGGGACCTCGATTTTCGATACTTGTTTAAATTCAACCTGAAAAAATCCTGCTGCTGTCTCCTAAGCGGTTGAACGAAGTTACTTGACTCCCTGTTCTTCATCAGTGACTAGTGTCTGGAAATGTGGTGCTAATGGAATATTTCCCGATTTTTTTATTTATTTTTTTTTTAACATTGTCTTTGTTGGTGCTAAACTGAGCTTTTTTTTTTTTTTTTTTCTTTAATGACACCGAGGTTGAACCTACTGCATGATTAGCGCATAAGAAATTTTGGTAATTCTTTGCATCTGGATTTTTTAATCACTGTAAAAGCACACTTTCATTGTGGTTTCCTTTTATGCTTGCTGTACGCATGTTTTCACTTGTTCTCCAGTCTTTTATTTTCAAAGTTTTCAGTTGAGGGTAAGTAGAGATGAGTTTTTCCCCCCCCTCCCTCTATAGGCTCTTCAGAGCAAACCCCTCTAAGCTTACCAAAGTGGCTCTTCTCAGGCAATTTGTAACGTATGACCCAAATTCTGACCTAAGCCCAGAAGGGGGAAAGAAAATAGGGGGAAGGGGTGGGGGGGTTGTCTCAAAAAGAGGAAAGAAATAACATTTCTGCTGTAGCTTTGGGAGAGGCGTTACCCTCGGGCCTGAGGCGATGGCTTCAGCGCGATGGGCTAACGTATGCCAGAATTAGGCTTATGGTACAGCATCCGCAGTTACTGTAAGGCTTAAAAAAACCCCAAAACGGGTGTAATGAACCTTCCCTTCACTGTGACTTTTCTCGCCAGTCTGGGAATGCTAAATGTTGTGCACATGTTAACGCTAGTTTCTCTGAACCTTATAATTTGATACGGCCGTAAGTTACATTGCATGACTTTCTGACTGGTTTTTATGTTGTCGTTTCTGTTCTTTTAATGCCTGTATGTGTTGGGGCGAAGGAGGGGAGGAGAGGGTGGCCTGGACGCGAGAGCATCTCGACCCTCGGCTAACTTGTACGCGCATTGCCTGAGAAACGCCGTAGAACGGCGTTCCACGAGTGGGGTTTAGCTCTTGTAGCTGGGTTCTCTTTTTAACTCAATCTCAAATAATAGGGCTCTGGTTATTTTGCAGAGTGTCTCTGAAGAATGGACAGAATTGCCATGGCTAACTACAAGCTACAGTTCACAGTGGACAAACGTTGTAGTTTTCTTATTTACTTTTATAAATTTTTATATTTTTTTTTTCGCTTTTTTTATATCTTGTAGTTTCCAATCAGTCCTGTATGATTGCTGTTGTACAAATGCCGTTTAAATGATGTGTAATATGTAGTTTTAAGACATGAATGTTTCAGTGTTTTATTTTCTTCAATAATTTCTGAAAATGTCAATCTCTCAAAATTTACAGCTGCCCACAGTCCAAAAAGGGGGTAACGAATTGACCCGAGAAAATTAAAGAATTCAGTTAACAGGCGACGTATGCCTTTTAATTCCTATCTTTTTTCATTTTTTCTATTTAATATTTTGAATGAGTAGGTAGAATGTGTTGGCAAATAGCGAGTTTAAAAGTTGCATGGTTAAAGAGAGCCATTCAGCTAATGTTAGTCAGCTACGTGCCTTAAGTGATTCTTTTGAATAGCTGCTTTGACCATGCTTTGTGTCTTAACAGTCTGTAAAAGCGTTTTGAAGCGGGAGCCAACTGTCGTAAAGTACATACGTTTGTTAGAGAAGCTATTGATTTGCATGTTTACACAATTAAGTTTAATTTTGCTACTACCTGGCAAAGCATTAGTAAAGTTCTGTTTAGAAAAAGAAGCCTTTTGCTTTGACTGTGTTGCTGGTGCAATAAACAGTTGACGTTAGTAAAGGTGAAACATGAAAATAAGCTGTACGTGTGACTCGAGTTGTCGTTTTAGCAAGGCCGGCTTTCGAAGGCGCTAAACTGGCTCTCCTTTCTGCTTTTTAGAGACGCGCGTGTGGTTAAGGACATGGCGACGGGCAAATCCAAAGGATATGGCTTTGTTTCCTTCTTCAATAAGTGGGTAAGCTGGAGAGCGGACGGTGACTTTGAGCGGCCGCTGCGGGGAAGGAGCGTTGTCGGTCCCGATCTATGTCCGTTCGCCCTCCTGCCGAGGGGGAGGCTCTTCTCTCCGTTTGGTGAAACGCTCTAGTATCGCTTCAGCGTTTCGAAAGCACGGGGCGGGTACCCCAGGGGTCAGCACTGGGTCCGGTTTCGTTTGGGGTATTCATCAACGGTCCGGCTGAGGGGACAGAGTGAACCCTCGGCAAGTTTGCTGGTGACACAGCACTGGGAGGGGTGGCTGACGCACCACAAGGCTGTGCTGCTGCACAGCGAGATCTGGACAGGCCGGAGAGTTGGGTGGAGAGGAACCTAATGAAGTTCAACAGGGGCGAGTGTAGGGTACTGCATCTGGGGAGGAATAACCCCACACAGCGGTCCAGGTCAGGGGCTGACCTGCTGGAGAGCAGCTCTGGGGAAAGGGACCCGGGAGTGCTGGGGGACAACAGGATGCCCACGAGCCAGCAGTGTGCCCTGGTGGCCAAGAAGGCCAACGGCATCCTGGGGGGCATCGAGAAGAGCGTGGCAAGCAGGCGGAGGGAGGCCATCCTCTCGCTGTGCTT